CCCCCCCCCACCCGCACCCCCACCCCCACCCCCACCCACACCCACACCGACACCCACACCCTCCCACACCCACACCCCGACTAGACCGACATTACCGTGTATTTTAAGTTCTATGTTTTAGTAAACTTACAAGATAGTTATCTCATGTGATAACAAAGGATAACATGACTAAATAGACGGTAGTGACAATGCGTCAATCCTGAATCATATTGCAGCCCACTAGGGCACATGTTTCATCATTTTGTGACGCGATTTTCTAAATTCTGTTACAACAATACAAATATACAGGAAGAAAAGAGCGTGACACATCTCGTGGGTGCAGCGTCGTTGTTTTTTTCTTGTTAACATAGTTGTGAGTCAAGGTGAATACGCCGTTGCGAGCAGGCCATGTGGCTCATATTACTTTCTATTATTCTTCTTCTTTTGTATGGGATATATTTAAAGTTAAAATACTTTACATTATACGGTCCATTGCCTGGTTTATCTCCTCAATTTTTGTTCGGAAATTTACTTCAAACTGGATTGTTGAGAGGGATTTCTTTTCCTCAAATATATACGTCGCTTAAAAATCGATTCGGTGATATTTATCAAGTTCAATTCGGATTTGTACATGCTAAAGTCATCGGTAATATCGATGATATACAACATATTTTTACTCATAGAAATATTTACGATCAAGGTGATTGGTTCGTAGAACTATTTGGAGCTATTTTGCCTAGTGCTCTTATTACGCTTAAAGGTTAGTTTCTATTGTTGAAAAGTGCTACAATATCATATGTCTAAATTTCTACTAGGTACCAAGTACAAACGACATGGTGCAATTAGTATGTCTTTATTTCGTCGGGGCAGAATTATTTCAAATTTCGATACGATTCTCGATTGTACAGATAAATTATTGGATAATTGGCGTTCATTTTCTGTTCATCATCTGCATCTCGATATTGTACTGCAATGTCAAAATTTATTACTTCAAATTTTTGGATTGATTGCTTTTGACTACGATTTTGAAACGCTTAATGGAACAAACAGTAATGAGCTGGCGCAGGCATTTCGAAATCTCTTTAGTACTATTGAAATAGCTTTATATTTACCAAATACATTGTTTAGAATTTTTCTAAAATTGAGTCCTCAATATCGACGACAACGTGCAATCATCGAACGATATATATATCGAATGATCGAACAAGAATTCAATGAAAGCCCTGAATCACGAGCTCAACGAAAAAGAACATCATTAATTGCTTCACTTGTTGATTCATTACAAATGGACGAAGAAGCTGAAGCAAAGAAAAGTGAAGAACAGAAAAAGGGTAAGACTTCCGCGTGAGATATACTTTCTGACGATTAGCAAATACGGAACGACTTAAATGAGAACTGTCCGATAGTCCCGTCAACAACCTAGAAATGAATTGAATACTATCTTTGATTCATAGGTCTATCACGAAGTGAAGTGTTTGATGAAATGCTAATGTTTCTAATCGCTGGTTTCGAAACGACTTCTACTGCATTGGCATGGTCGATACATTTGCTAAGCAAACATCCACATGTTCAAGAAAAAATCAAAGCCGAATTAATTAATAATAGTGTTACTCAACTGTTAACTCTAGAACATCTCGAATCGCTAATCTATTTGGATTGTGTTATCAAAGAAATACTTCGTTATTCTTCACCTTTCGATTCAACAGTACGAACATTAGTTGCAGATGATCGTTTACCACATAGTGATGTTCAATTGTATAAAGGTGATCAAGTAATCATTCCATTTTCAATTCTGGCACTTGATAGTCGATATTGGTCGATTGATCCTGATTTATTCTATCCAGAAAGATTTTTAGGTAAAGATAAAAATCATCATCCATATGTATTTCTGCCGTTTGGCAGTGGACATCGTCAGTGTATTGGACAAGATTTAGCCAGATTCGAATTGAAAGTTATTATAGCAAGACTTATGCAATATGTGACATTTGGCGATGGAGGTCCTGAAGTGAATGCCGGTGGTCATTTGCAAAAAATGACGGTCATGCCCAAGCATGTTGGTATCACTATTAAATTCGATGCGTAGATTATTCCAAAGCTTATGCATTCTACTTGAATAAAACTACTCGTCGGGAGAAACATCTTCATTTTAGCGTTTCTTTGATAGCAAGTGATAGCTTATAATTCCTATATTTCCATTTTTTTTCTGGCGAATAAAATATTATCCATCACGTCTCGGTACGAATAGTTAAGTTTATTTATTGTTGTTTGATTCGTTTGTTGTTGTTCTCGCTATGACTTTTCTTATTCAATCAGTATTATCGATCTTCGAAGGTGTATGTAAATCGGTGCAAGTTATGTACGGCTTTGCAAGTCAAATCAGTTATCGATTATATAAATGTCACTCAGAAAACGACAAAATTTTATGAGAGCCAATTTTCACTCGACAATCACGATAAATACAATCAATGCCATATTGAATCATATGATAAGTATTTTTTGAGTTGGAAGATTGTCCCTGAAATAGAAGTGTTTATTGCTCTATCTGGTAAGATAACTGCTTTAGTTCGTATTTGTTCGTTTCATTTCTCTCTGGTATAATCTAATCGTCGAGAGCGCCTTTGATACATATTTTGTGTTTCATCTACGCATTATTAGAAAGAGCAAAATTTTAACAGCAGAAAAAAGAATGTTTGATCTTAAACAGTGCTCATAAGATTCTAATTCGATGAAAAGAACATTTTGAAATCATAATTTACGCGGTATGGAACAAGCACGGAAATTTTCTAATCAATAGTTTGATAGAGATTTTTTGGCGCTACAGTATGCATTATATAGCTGTTAGTATTTTGCCTTGAGAATTCTTTTACTTAGGTTTGTTAAGTGAAAAGCTTAAATTCATATATATTTTATAGTTCAGAGTTCACTTTTGACAACAAAAAATTCAGTATCTCATGTGCAGACAATATAGTACGATATGATTCGATATTCTTGAACAAACATTTGAATCACCCGTTATTATCGACAAAGCAAAACGGTGATATTTTGTTTCATGTCCCTGCTCTTTACAAGAGGTGATTCTACACCTACTCGTCACTTTTCATACTATTACTCTGGAAATCCAGCTAAACGTGTTATAATGGAAAATAATCATTTAGAACAGTGTGTGCAACAGATCTTGGTTCCTCTTTCTTTTTTTATTATACTATCTTCTGTGATGATTTTTGAATAAATGAAAGAACAATCATATCCCCCCCCCCCCCACCAACACCACAGAATGGAAGCCTAGTCTCGAGTTTAAAATTGTCCGATATAATAGAAGCCCACCTAATTCGAAATGTGTGCATGCAGAGAAATGAAGAAGGCAGATCATTTTGCTGATAATATTCAATTCTTTTAACTGAATGTTCATATACATCGATCGATTTCTTTCGTTCTACATATTTTTTTTTGTTATACTATATTTCGTTTTCTTTGTTCGATGATGAAATTCTGAAACTTATTGTATTTTTCGGTGTAAAATTATCTTGAAACTTTTTGTAATAACAACATAGAGTTGTGTGAATAAACGAAATTATGAATGGTAATGCAATTATAGTTATTGTTGCTTTTAAACTCTTATAAATCGCTCCATACACAATAAAAAAAGTTGATCGTAATAGAAACTCACCTTTCCACTTATAATTTTCAAAACAAATTAGAAGCCCAGTGGGCTTATTTTCTATGGGGAGGGGGGGGATTAGGTCATTCCGCTCGTTCACAACCCATGAATCACACCAATAAACACATAAAAGACTTTTCGAAATTGTGTGCTATTCATTGCAACTAGCAAACACCAACTTGTACTTTCCCATTTCTATTTACAGTAGTTGATCTCTTATTGATTATGTTCTTTTTTAGTTATTATACCTCTTTGTCTTTTCAAGTCATTTTTCTCAAAGTATAAAATTTCCTTTACCAAAAGCAGATCATTTTTCAGAAACTGAATCCGATACAATTGACTATGACGTTATTTTTAATCGTCGAGTTCAGTGTCTTGCTATCGTTCAACTATGTAAACTTAATCATTTTCTAAGGTCACATATGATGTGAAATAGAAACTAAAATGCCCTCAATAATGCAATCCCTACATAGCCTACTTCCCTGTTTCTAGTAATTGAGTTCTTGGTAGCATTCGACTAAGCACTTGGGCACTCATTTGTTCATGTACTGTTTATATAACACTGGAGTTCTCTTGCACATACAGAAAATCGCTTTTAATATTTCACAAGTACTTGCGATTTCGATTTAAAATGCTACAAGAGGTTTTATTCACGATTTCAAGTACTTGTATAAATGTTTCTAACGTTATTGGACTATGTTTTTTTTTCAATCAAAAGAAATGATGATACTTTTTCATTGAAGTTTGATTTGAAAACTTTTGTGGTGGTACTGATTATCAAAAAAGTAACAAGCGAAGTTAATGCTGATGTCTTAGCATTATTCTTTGATAATCATCGATGGCTGATGCGTTTTTGTCTGATCTTTGGCAAAGTAGAACATTTTTAGTCTTTTTATTAGATATAAGTTTAAAACAGATCAAATATGGCAAAACGTGGCACTATGAACAATACCATATAGTGAACACTCTGCCATATCACCGAAAAATTTTTATCTGAATTAGATTTGACAAGAGCTGAACTTGAGAGTGGGTGTGGTTCTTCTGTTCATTCGCACCCACACCCGCACCCAGACCCACACTCACACCCACATCCACATCCCACACCACGCTCACACTCACACCCATACCAGCTGGAAAATTTAAAAATCAAACAAAAATCGTTAAAATAATGAACCGGACAGTTTTTAAAAATGTATTTCAACTTTAATGATTAAAATGCACATTTTGGTCAATTTAATTCCGTGATTTTAATGAAAATGTTCATTTCAATCGATAAAATTGAAATACATTTAAAAAACACTGTTTGTTTTCTCATTTGAAATGCTATTTTGTTTTGGTGTTTTTTTTATAGAAAATATATGAATTTATGAACTTTTTTGATTTTCATATTTTTTGAGTAGAGAGCCGTCGTCGTCGAGGGCTCAAAAATTTTTCAAACTTTCTCTGCTTCGACGACGACGACGGCTGCGTCTCAATCGCTCGGCTTATCCCTCTAAATGTCCATACATTTGCAATTACACATCACTTTTAAATACCACGCGTAGAAGAGAAGGAAACTATGCGAAAAGAAAAAAGCTCAGATCGAATGCAACGTAAACAACTTTAACTGATATAAATCTTTCATAGTATATTATTATTTATTGTTCTAAATCCATTTTCTCTTCAACGATTTAATAAAGAAAAAAAACCTTTCAACTTTGCAAATGTTGTTTTTTTTATATATTCTACATAGAATAACCACTATTTTTCCCTTGACAAAACATAATTCATCTCGAACAAGTATCACAGAGTCAATATCTTCTGACGATGACTCTGAAGCAAGATCGAAATCTGGATCATGGTATGCTAGACTCATACCCTCACACATCCTCACAAACGTGTCACTTACATATATATTATTGTATTCACTGGACAAGAAGTTATTGCAACCAGATTTTTTTTGTTTTTTGTATTAAGTGCACATCTATATTTGTTATCTTATCTTGTTTTTCGAACCTTTTAAATTTTTTAATAAAATTTTAAAAATAACGTAAATTCAATTTATCACGACAGGGCTAAAGAAGAGTATAACAACTGGTGATTCCACGAATATCATTATAATAACAATCGGCAATTCTTGCACCTTTCTTTTATGCTTTCTTCTTTGTTTGAAACAGTTGTGTAATTTATCAAAAATAAACCTACGTACATTTTATCACTATTATTATTATTGTTGTCATTATTGATATTCAAAAAAATATATAATAAAAGATTGTAAAAAAAAAGATAAAAATTATTTAATCGATAAATATCAACATCAATTGAGGTAAGTGAACCCTATTTATTGCTCAAGTTCTGTTTTGGTTGTTGCTATAAGTTAACAGAAGGGTGTTGCATAAAGTAATAATTTATATAACTATTATCATGAATAATATGATTTATGACCTGATTCTATTTTTTCAACAGTGCATGAACAAGAACTAACTTCTAAATTTATCTGGTGTTTATTAATTTTCGGCTCATATTGAATTCTTTGTATGGAGATATTTAGAGCAGGTTGTAGTAAAATTTCTTCTTTATCTAGATATACTGATAACGATGAAATTTCCACACCTAAACAATGCTTTTGACGAGGAATATAAATTACAAATAAAGTATTACCACCAAATTGTAATGCTTTATGTTCATTTTTTATTGTACTTGAAAATGCATCCCACCAAGCTAATCTACCAATATTTTCCTTATACTCATGAATCATTTCATTTGTTAATGTAGCACATTGATAGACAATAATTTCTTCTTGATTTGGACTATCACGAAGATATTTCTCTGATAAAGCACAATATGGACCTAATGTCTGACCATATTCTCGATCTTTCTCATTTGTAAACATTCCTTTACATATATCAGCTTCTCTCATGACTTTGTTAATCAATTTGTACAAACAAATTTCACCTGTATATAATTTAATGCAACACTCAATTGTCAATGAACGAACGAAATGGATCCGACATATTGAGTGGTTTGTAATCAAGTTTCGGTTGTTGCATTGTAAATCTGTGTTCTCTAATATCTTTATCCAACATGTACATGATTTCACGCATAATGGCTCTTTGTTTATTCAGATCTTGTTTATTGATTTGAATTTGTTTATTGAAATCGAACCAAAAATGATCCAATTCAACTTGATTTTTATTTTGTTGATGTGCATTTTCGATTATGTAATTTTCAATATCTGAATATTGTTCCCACGTGTCAGGTCCAACATTTGTCCATGGATTAGCGTTTAATTTCCACATCCAGATTATTGGTAATTTTGATGACGAATTCATAACAATCATGTTTTCTAAAAAAGCAAAAAAAATACATTACAAATGTTGTCAGCAAATAAAGCGGTGCTTAAGTTTGGCAGTAGTGTCGAACTTGAAACTTGAATTCAATTGAAATTTCAACTTTCAACTGAAACTTCAAATTTCAAGTTTCAAGTTTCAAGTTTCAACTTTCAACTTTCAACTTTCTAGTTTCAACTTTCAAGTTTCAACTTTCAACTTTCAAGTTTCAACTTTCAACTTTCAACTTTCAAGTTTCAACTTTCAACTTTCAAGTTTCAAGTTTCAACTTTCAACTTTCAACTTTCAAGTTTCAACTTTCAACTTTCAACTTTCAAGTTTCAACTTTCAACTTTCAACTTTCAACTTTCAACTTTCAACTTTCAACTTTCAAGTTTCAACTTTCAACTTTCAACTTTCAACTTTCAAGTTTCAACTTTCAACTTTCAACTTTCAACTTTCAAGTTTCAACTTTCAACTTTCAACTTTCAACTTTCAAGTTTCAACTTTCAACTTTCAACTTTCAACTTTCAAGTTTCAACTTTCAACTT